TAGGCTTATATTGAGGCCTCCCCCCCCCCCCATGAGGTTGGATTACTGACCCAGCCCAGGATGCAACTCCACAACAAGCTGACTAGCTCCTGGGTACCTACTTGTTGCTAGGTGAACAAAAGCATTAGACAATAGGAAACTGGCCCAACCATTTTGATTGTGAATCGAGAACGAACCCGACTGTACTGCCGGGATTCTATCCCCAGTTTTTGTTGGCCAGCTCCTCTGGTTGTCAGGTGTGGGAGCTTCATATTCTCTCTAGGGATGAGGGGTTCTGATCTTACAGTCCTGGTGGGTCACTTTCTTCACTTGCAGCTTTCTCTTCTTCTGATAAAGAGCAAGTTGGTTGGTTTAGGGAGAGGTCATTTGAGTGTTGATTCTGGGTTTGTTTAGCCCAGAGGTGCATCATTTGTGGTGTCTAATTTGCAAAGTGACCAGAAATTGTGTGTGGACAGAATGATCATTGTATTCCCAAGATGTAAAAATGCTAAGTGCTTTTCTGTGAGGGTCCCTCAGTAGCTCCACGATAGTGAGGCTTAAAGTTAATTAGAGCATGGCATGTAGGCAGCGACCTACATGGACACAGACCCTAGGTACAGAAGTAACTAAGGAATCACTCAAAAAGAAGCAAGTCAATCCAACAACAACCAATTTTTTATATTAGAGCTAAGAATATTAGAGACAAAACCATTGCAGGAAATTTATTAAAATTATAAAAACAGAAAGTAATCTGGCATTTGAAACAATACTTACATCACCAAGCGAAAAGAAAATACTTCTGAAACAATCATTACTGTAATTTATAATGTTTAATACCTAATTGTTTTACTTAATACGTATCACATCATTTTAACATGTACCATATAACCATCAACTATTATTAATGAATAATATCCTTATAAAGAACATTCAATAAAACAAAGACTTCATAGAAATCTATAAAATCAGTACATATAGAGAGATGTGGAGCCAATCATGGGCACACATACTCCTAACAGTTGTGTCCATTAACAACGGTACCAAATGTGTTCCACACATACAGTCACCAACTGTCAGAGTGTGGTTAACTGTTGGGTACAAAACTAATATCTTAGTAAGGGAATATTTTATGTTAGAATACTGGTCTTGTAACTGTACCAAGGATAACTGACCGTTTATGTTTGAGAAAGCTAATATGTAATTAAGGTCTTGTCTGGAATATGTAAAGGGTGAGAGCACTTGTGGTAACAAGTTCAAGGTTACAAAATTTAAATTTTTATCATACAAATTTATATGGTCAAACCATGAGAGAGATAAAAGCTAGAGTGGGAAAGATTTAAGTATACTGCACCCAGAGTAGCCAGTGCAGATGGCTGAAAAGAAAATGATTAACACTTTTGCGCCCCGGGCGTGCGCGCCGCAAACTTTGAGGTCATGCCTCCGGCAGTGCGGGCATGCGTGCGTCGAGTGCGCGGCAACACCGAAATATGTATACTTGTTTCAGTTTTCTAACCTTACTGTTATGTCGTTCATTTTGGTATCATTGTGTTCGCAATTAAATTCCCTGTAGGTGTATATGCATATAATGTCCAAAATCCTGGCGTGACTCCCTGCAGCAAAGCCTAAATTTACTCATGAACGAGCACCAATTTGCACACCGAAGCCTGATGTGTATACTCAGTCAGTTTGATAACATCAATTTTCATGTTACATCTTTCATTTTGGTATCAAATTGTTCACAATGTAAAGGCGCGCATTTTAAAACTAGTCCCATAATAATAGCACAATAAATAGAATTTTAACAAATATTTTAAAATTTTGACCAAAACGTATTTATAATCTTTGAAGTATTCTGACAACAAATTTCGTGTTACATCTTTCATTTTGGTATCAAATTGTGCGCAATTTAAAGGTGCTCATTTTAAAACCACTCCCAGTGGATCGGATAAAAGTTAAATTTTTAACAAGTATTTTAAATTGAGGACGCCATTCACGTACCAGCTCGGACTCAAGAGAAAAATTAGGGACGCCAGGGGCGTTTTGAGAGTGTGAAAGTGTTAAATGTGTGATAAGTTATTCATGATAAAACTCAGGAAAATCTGAATTAAATTTCGTTAAAATGAAGTTATGTAAGTTTACTTGGTTCCCCTCAGTAACTCACCGAGATATAGTACCAAGGCTGCCAAACCAAGTTATGCCAAACTTCCGAGATCCACCTGATTCTAGCGGGAACCGGGAACAAAATGTGACTGACAGTATGAGGCGAGGGGCAACTTGGGGATCACATATCAACACAAAACAGAGAAGAATAAAATAAAATTATACAATGGTCTTGTATTGGAAAAACCACCTTCGAATGTAATGAAACACTTCTTTCTGGAGGAGCGCTGGTGGCTCCCTGAAGCAATCTTGTTGAGATTGCTCCATGCTACAATGTCACATCAGTCTCAGAAGATCTGTTTGGCCAACCAGGGACTAGAACCAAAAACATGACCATCACACAGAGGCACAAGGAGAAAGGTGACAATCTGTCACCCCACCGAAAAGAACTCCAGAAAGTCAGCACAGCCCAACAGATTATTGGAGGGTTCATAGATAATGAGGCCTCGAACCTGCCAAACAACTCTACAAACGATTCTCACAGAACGAGGGATTCACTCTTGCGAGGACGAGACTCATTAGTACCAATAACCACCACCATGTCGTCTGGCCGTGCCCCCCCCCCTGCCACCAGCTGGATACCCAGGTCAATTCCACAGCGAACCTACAAATCCAAAAGGAGTGTTTCATGGAGTAACCGGGGCTCCTCTAGAAAGAAGTGGGCACCAACCAGGAGGTCCGATTGGTGTCCATATCACTTCTTGGATAGAGGCCACCATATCCCAAGAAGCACATACAGGCTAATGATAATTCACAAAGGAAATATGCAAGAGAGTGCAAAGATAATATTCAGACCAAGGAAAAGGTCTTCAAGATGAATATGGTACTTTATTAGATTACAATAGAAATATACAGTTAACAGACAAATGTGACATGATGATTGGTGAAGTAGTGTTTACACGAAAGTCAGTAAAGTGGCACAAGAAATTATTTGTCCACCAAATAGACATCACTATGCTCATTGCCTGTAACATGTTCTTTATGAACACCGAACAGAAAACACCAGTGCATAGGTTTAGTGGTTTAGTTGTACGATAGTTATTGGATGAACCTGCTCCACCAACTTGACATAAGGTTGGTAGAGCCACACCCAGCCCACTATGGGTGTGGCTCTAACACCCATAGTGGGCTGGGGGGAGCACCAGCCAGAGTTGTCCACTAATGAAACACACTGTACCTAACAGATTGGCTTGCAAGGATTATATGTTACTGCACACAATTGACTACCTGCCACCTGTAGGAAAGAGCGAAGTCCTAATGAGAGTGAATTGTGTTTGCAGGCCCACAAACTGTAAGGAACAGAAAAGCAAACATGTTACAACATGGAAATTACCTAAGCACTTACCCAAGTGTAATTACCCAAATTAACCTAAGTAATTACAGGATGAGAGCTACGCTCGTGGTGTCCTGTCTTCCCAGCACTCTCATTTAACACTCTGAAACTACTGAATGTTTTGGCCTCCACCATCACCTTTCTCACTTAACTTGCTCCAACCGTCTACCACTGTCTTGGCAAAAGTGAGTTTTCTTGTATTTCTTCAGCAGCTTTGTTTAGTTAGCTTCAATCTATGACCTCTTATTCTTGAAGTTCCAGGTCTCAGGAATTCTTCCTATCAATTTTGTTGATTCCTGCTACTATTTTGTACATAGTGATGATAATGCCTCTTTTTGATGTTTTGAATCTTCAGCAGATTCAGAGTGACTGACATAACAGAACCCTTTTCTCTCAAGGAGACTGAGGCAAATAGGATGACAGTCTACAGCAGAAACATTTCTTTTCCAAGAAAAAAAAAGAGGAGAACAATAATGGCAAACATTAAGGAAAGCAAACACATGAGGATGACCAAACATGGCTCAACTGCATGCTTTGAAAGAACTCATAGAAATTCAATGCAACAACTCGCAGAAAGGGTGCAGACGGCATGGGGCAAGGAATCCAAGGCAGCGACTGTCGAGAAGGACAGAGAAGTACTTGTGTGGTGAGAATGCAGGTGCACTGAAGAGAACTACTGTACAGCACTCCGCAGCACAAAAACATGAAACACCTGGCAAATAATTTCCCTCCCTCGAGTCCATAGTGATCATATCTGCAGAAATGTGATAACCTGGATGTGGAGCTGCCACAACTACACATTACAAGGTGCTTCGTACACGTGATGTTTTGAAGGAGTGGGATATTGCTGTGGATGACTGCTGGAGTATGGTGTGCTTATCTGTGATACAATACTGTATATTGTATTATGAAAAACACACAATGAATGAATGATATTTTATTGCTTTATTATTTATCAAATTTAGCAATCATATTACTCACCTTCTCTCTCTCTGGACTAGTAAATTCTTACTCCATCAAAATAGGCAATAGAGTAAATGATGATATTTGTATGTATACATGAATGTATATATTTATGAATGCATTTGTGTATATATTAGGCAGAGAAAAGAGCAATTAGTGCAAATGAGGAAACGTCTTTACAGATCTTTCTTATTTTACACTCCAGTGCTCTCAAAGCAAGTCATGATACAAAACCAGTATTCAAATTAATAGGACTTAATAGCATGGGAAGACAGAGGCACAAACACCCATAGTTCAAATGTCAATTCTGGGGAACACTGAACATCATCCTGGGGAACACTGAACATCATCCTGGGAACACTGAACATCAGTTTGTTACATCACACTTATGTTGAAGATTTGCTACATCCAGGCTCTTGTTTTTGTGTAAGCAACACTACTATGTAAATTCACACATATGAATACTGTCAATATCTGCAAATTACTGATGCAAATTATCATACATACATATTGCAATTTAAAACAATTGGATCCTGCAGGTAACATAGCCACAATCAAATCTTACCATTTCCAGTTCTTCTTTTTCAAAACTTGACTCCCCCTACAAATGTAAAAATAAGCAATGGAATGAGTAACTATCATTAATTTAAAATTTATAAATTTGCAACCACAAAGTATAAGGCTTTTCCCGAGATTGGAACAACATGTAAACCTTTCTGTTATTTCAGTCATAAGTTATCTTCCTATACAGTGCAACCTTGATTCGGTGAACCTTGGTTTGGCAAATCTCCGGTTAGGACGTACACTTTTCAGGCCGGATTTACTCACCGTTTCAACAAACTCTGGTTTGATGAAGTGGGGGATGTGCGGATTTGTTTATGATGTTGGGACAGTTCACAGACTGGTGGAAAATTTTCCCCATTATATCACAGGTTACAATTAATAAATCCTTCATATGACAAGTTGGATCACACAAGTGGACAAGTGAACCACATTAACCAAACACCAGCCAGCGTGGTCCACTCAACAAGTGAACCACATTAACCAAACACCAGCCAGAGTGGTCCACACAACAAGTGAACCACATTAACCAAACACCAGCCAGAGTGGTCCACACAACAAGTGAACCACATTAACCAAACACCAGCAAGCGTGGTCCACACAACAAGTGAACCACATTAACCAAACACCAGCCAGCGTGGTCCACACAACAAGTGAACCACATTAACCAAACACCAGCCAGAGTGGTCCACACAACAAGTGAACCACATTAACCAAACACCAGCCAGAGTGGTCCACACAACAAGTGAACCACATTAACCAAACACCAGCCAGAGTGGTCCACACAACAAGTGAACCACATTAACCAAACACCAGCCAGAGTGGTCCACACAACAAGTGAACCACATTAACCAAACACCAGTCACAGTGGTCCACACAACAAGTGAACCACATTAACCAAACACCAGCCAGAGTGGTCCACACAACAAGTGAACCACATTAACCAAACACCAGCCAGAGTGGTCCACACAACAAGTGAACCACATTAACCAAACACCAGTCACAGTGGTCCACACAACAAGTGAACCACATTAACCAAACACCAGCCAGAGTGGTCCACACAACAAGTGAACCACATTAACCAAACACCAGCCAGAGTGGTCCACACAACAAGTGAACCACATTAACCAAACACCAGCCAGAGTGGTCCACACAACAAGTGAACCACATTAACCAAACACCAGTCACAGTGGTCCACACAACAAGTGAACCACATTAACCAAACACCAGCAAGCGTGGTCCACACAACAAGTGAACCACATTAACCAAACACCAGCCAGAGTGGTCCACACAACAAGTGAACCACATTAACCAAACACCAGTCACAGTGGTCCACACAACAAGTGAACCACATTAACCAAACACCAGCCAGAGTGGTCCACACAACAAGTGAACCACATTAACCAAACACCAGCCAGAGTGGTCCACACAACAAGTGAACCATATTAACCACCGCACTGCGCACCTGTTTTCGGCAAAAACTTCTTTGTGCAATTGTCAAAGACGTATTTTTGTTGTTTTTATCAATGTTTAAGTAAAGTTAATGTCAAAATGTTTCAAACTCAACTTTTCCATTTAAAATCGCAAAGAGTAATGAAAACATTAAAAAACATTAAAATATAGCCTAATTAAAAAAAAGCACAACTCTGAAAGCGCCTAAAGGCGCTTTGTGCAGTGCAATGGTTAACCAAACACCAGCCAGAGTGTTCCACACAAAACAAGTGAATGACCGAGTTTCCATGATTTTCGTTCACTGCTTTATGGCACCATTATCTTTGAAAATGAATTTCAAGGCTGAAGCATGAGAAGCTAGCTACATGTGATGAAATCTCCCTATAGACATTTTCTGTGAAGAAACAACATAAGTGAGGGTGGACAGATAGAGGGAATACTTTAAGCTTCACATGGTTTTTCTTCGAATGCGTCACCCCAGTTCAGTGACCTACAGCTTCAAAATAATAAAATTAATCAATCATTTCTAAAACAAGTGTTTTATTAGCTTTTTATTATCTTAATTATATTTCTAAGCTAAATATAAAACTAAAAATATACTGTAATATGATAAACAATTTCTGAACAAGCAGATGTCTATGTTATTGGCTCAAGTTTTGCATACAACTCGAGTGCGGGTCGACAGGTCTAATCCCTGTGCTTTCATCCCTAAATCACTTCTAAAATAAGTATTTTTATAGCTCTTATTATCCTAATAATGTTGTTAAACTAAAATATAACCCAAAAATATATAATATGATGTAAATCCAATATGCGAGAGAAATTTATGTTACTGGATCTGGCTTAAACACCAGCCTACTGTAGAGTGTATAGACCTAGTTCCTCAGCATTCATACAGTAGGCACCCAGTGCCGTTAGCTTTGTCTGCGAGCGACGTGTTTGTCCGCCGGTGGAAGATTATATCGTAGAATTCACCATTTTTTGGCTACAGCTGTATTGTTATAAAACAAGATGTCTCAGGGGGGGCTTGCTAATAGTGCCGTATCTAGCTAGAGGAAGAAGAGTCATTTATCCATTAAGCAGAAATTAGACTTAATAGAGAAACATTAACATAGCTACTCTGTTTCTAGGCTGGCAACAGAATTTAATGTTGGGAAAAGCACAGTGTGTAATATCAAGAAACAGAATGATGATATTAGGAAGTTCCTTGCTGCAAGTGATAGTGGTGCATTAAATAAAAGGAAAACGATAAAAGGTGCTACAAATAAAAAATTAGACGAAGCTGTGTATAAATGGTTTACCCAGGAGCCTTTTGTGGGTATGACTCTTGGTGGCGACGCCATAAAGACTGCCAACGAGAAATTTGCAGAAAAGATGAACATTCCAGATTTTCGAGCAAGTGAAGGATGGTTGCAAAGATTTAAGAATAGGCATAATATTAAGAACAGGAAAATTCCAATAGAATCATTAAGCAGCTGAAACCAACACAGCAGCAGCGAGCACCAGCAAAGCTGATGCAAACATCTAGAACATTGTGTGCGGAGTGTATAGTTAGAACAAGTGTTAAATTTAAGTACACAGTGTTACAGTGTTAAAATTAAAGTTGCAGTAATTTTAGTGTACAATAGTTTTCATAAACTGTACTGTAGTACTCAACATATAGCAGAACGACATAATCAATACAGTGCTAATGGCATGATACAGTACAGTACATATTTAAGAATATAAGAATAAAGGTAACTGCAGAAGCCCTAATGGCCCATACAAGGCAGCTCCTATTTATAACCACCCAATCCCCCTCATATACATGTCCAACCCACGCTAGAAACAATCAAGGGACCCCACCTCCACCACGCCACGTGGCAACTGGTTCCACAAATCAACAACCCCTATTATGAAGCAGTATTTACCCAGGTCTTTCCGAAATCTAAACTTATCCAGTTTATACCCATTGTTTCGTGTTATGTCCTATGTTGATACTTTTAGTACCCTATTAATATCCCCTTTGTTATGTCCATTCATCCACTTGTAAACCTCTATCATGTCACCCCTAACTCTTCACCTTTCCAGTGAATGCAATTTAAGCTTTGTTAATCTTTCTTCATATGACAGGTTTCTAATTTGTGGGATTAATTTTGTCATCCTATGCTGGACATGTTTAGGTGAATTTATATCCATTCTATAGCACGGCGATTAAAACTGAACTGCATAATCAACCAGAGCAAGATATAGCTGAAGACGGTGATAATCTTCCTCACTTTAGCGATAATGAGTCTTTTTTCGTGTTTATTTCCCTCTCGATTTTTGTATCATCAGCAAATTTGCAAAGGTTGCTGCACAAACCTGAATCTAAATCATTTATGTATATTTGAATAACAGAGGTCCCAGGACAAAGCGGGACCAAAGAGCCAAAGGCCAACCCCGGCAAGCACAATTAGGTGAGTACAAAAAAAGCCTTGAGGCACTCCACTTACAACATTTTCCCAGTCTGACTTAACCCCATTAATACTAACTAAATACTAATACTAACATTATTACTAACCATTAATACTAAGTTTCTTTTGATATAGCCATGCCCTAATCCAGCTTAATATAGTACTCCTAATACCACGAACTTCTATCTTTTTAATGAGTCTTTCATGTGGCACTGTACCAAAAGCTTGGCTAAAGTCAAGGTACACAACATCTCAAACCTTACCACTATCAACTGCCTCAACTATGCTGGAATAAAATGATATCAGATTTGTTAAACATTTATTGTACAGTATTCACAACTCAATGATAATTCAAGATGGACATAACTCCAAAAAACCAGCGTTGAATGTAATGAAACGCCATTTTCTGGGTGAGCCCCGGAGGCTCCCTGGAGCTTATCGGGCTAATGTGTGTTATGTTAGACCGGGACATTAGCTAAGGAGTTCAGACCTACCAGGGACCAGCGCCAGAACCTGGCCCCTTCAGAGAGGTTTCAGGGAGCAATGGCCCTGGAAAACCCCATATGGTTGGGGGTTTTCCTTATCTGCCATCGACCGGGGTTAGGCACCCAGAAAGGTAGGCGTAACAAAACAAACCCCACATGGTAAGAAACTACAACAAAAACCGAACAGAGAGGTAGAAAACTCCCTACAATCCCAAGGAAACAAGCAAACAAGCAAACATCACACTTTACTGCCGCGCCGATCGTCCGCGCAGCCCTCCCCACCCCGGGAGGGGGAGGGGGGAGCCCCGGACCTACCGCGCCGGCTGCCAAGCTCCAGTTCGGAAGCTAAGCGTCAACCAACGCGAAAAAACCGCCGACCGGTGGGAGGGAGGGTTTCCAGGGAGCCTCCGGGGCTCACCCAGAAAATGGCGTTTCATTACATTCAACGCTGGTTTTCTGTGGGGAGCCCCTACGGCTCCCTGGAGCTTCATACCCAAAGAGAAGGAAAAGAAAGGGCTAACCCGGGAGGCAGCCGCCACAAACTCTGCAACGCAAAGCCAAGACAACCGGTCGCAAACCTGCGACCCAAGGCAACAAGAACGCCCAAGAACAGACGCACACATGGATGGGCGGCCAAAAACCTGTGCGACCCACAATTCCCTGCGCCC